AACAGCTTTTGTGGATTCGAGTCTCTCTTTGCTCCTGGTTTTATGATAAAAGATAGAGGCAATACGCCCCAATCTGCCAAGGCCTAAGAGCCAGCACATCTCAAACAGAACGATACAGCAAAATGGGAGGGAACAGGCCAGAGGAGGCCTGGTGGAGATGCAGGTGATGAGTTGCACAACAGGGAAGCCTCTTTGCTTGCCTCCCAAAGATGAAACGGCAGCGGCACCAATGGCCTCAGCTGACCTCTCCTTTCCTGTGAGCTATGGCCTTACATGTGATTTCTAAGCCACTGAGAGCTCCCAGCACGCTCAGGCCCAGTGCATCTTACCACAGGAGGTATGTACTCCAGTGAAATGTAGGTAAAAATCATTACCTGTGATACAAAGCTACTTGTTTCATGGGTCTCAGTCAAGCATTTGAATAGTGAACAAAGTTTTTTGTCTTTTTTTTTTTTTGGTAAAGAAACCGGAAGCTGTAAACAACAATGAAAGAGGATTTTGGCAAGGCGTCTTATCTAACTGTGCCCTCAAACCCTCTGCTCAGCCTTCTGCTTCAGACGCCCTCAGATTCTTGTCTTCTGCTCTGGGAGATGGACTGCTATAGGAATGAGATCAGATGTCTGGTATGGCCCCACAGCAAATAATTCTCTCAAAATGAAAGGTAAAGCCTAGCTCACTCTCTGAATACAAACTTGAGGATCAAGCATGATTCCCAGGTCTCTACTTGGGTAACTCATTTACATTTCTCTGGCCTCTGCTTCAACTAATCAGTCAATCAACAAATATTTATGGGGCACTTACTATGTGTAAGGTATTGGGCATACAAGTACAAAGAATGAAACAAATCCTCTTCACTTGCTCAGCCAAATTTAGTTAGAATCATTTGCCAATCATAGGCCAAAAAATATTCAGTATAACCAAATTCAAGACTGTGGATTCTGACAGATTACAGGCCAAATAATTCCCCCCACACAATACTCGATTTAATCTAGCAAATTTGTCATCTGCTCTTCCCTACACAAACTGGACAACTTGCCATTTTCCAAACAGACCAGCTGATTACTTGCCTCCGTGCCCATTAGGCTGAACCACCAGAACGTAGTTGTCTCCTCATCCTATGTATTTAAATCCCCAAACATTTCAAAACCCAACTAACAGTCCCTCATCCATGACTGCCCCAACCAGACGTTTGTTTAGTCACTTTTTCTTCACTACCACACACCTTTCTTAGAGGATGAGATCACAAACTCTAAGAGCAGGGACCGTGTGTTTGCTCGATAGGCTAGGTGCTCATTACATGCTTGCTGAAATACGGCTGTTTACAGAAGCCCCCTGCCTGAACCCTGGGAGCCCTTCCCACTTTCTGTCACTGTGCCAGGAAACAGAGGTGGTCTTTTATCTTCCCTGGTTTGCCCTTGTAAGGGCATCTCTGGCAAACCTCACTGCTTCATGGGGCTGCCTCAACTATAGCTCTGGGAAGGGAAGGTGATTGATGAAGATGTGGTTAACCAGCAGCCTTGGTGTAAATCACGTCCCCAGAGCCCTGACTTACAATGGGTTTCTACTTTAACTGGCATGTAATCTGCCAATACCCAGTACTACCAAAAATGGACGAGCAGGAAAACCATCAGGAGGCACATGAAAACCCCCAAACACAAAGCAATTTAGCCAAAGTGTTATCACAGTAACTAGGGCAACCAAATGGCTCTGCTGAGGCAGGAAGGAGTTGGTGGGACCACTCAGCAAAGGAGCAAGTGACTGGTGCAGTCCTGCCTATGCATGGGACAGCACTTGACTAGGGTTTAACGGGGCAGGAGGGAATAATTCCAGTTGCCAATGTATTCAGCCTCACAGTATTTGGAACTGGAAAGCCCCCTGCAGATCATTTCGTCTAACTGCTTTATTTTATACGTGAAAGAACTGAGGTCCAGAGAGGGAAAGTAATTAAGCTCAGAGGACCCAGGTAGTAAGTAGGAGAGCGGAGACTGGAATCCATGTCCTCTGACCCCAAACCAGTGGAATCAGTACCCTGCTCCAGAACTGGCCAGAAGGCCTGCTGCTTCACAGCATCTTCAAAGAAGATTCAGGGAAGACCCAGATAAGTCTCCAGTGCAAAGTACAAACCATGATGGGAGGAGTCTGGGTGGCCTTTACTTTCACTCTGCTAAGAATGGGGGGAGGGCAGGTATTCTGCGTCTGTGTATCCCCTTCCTCCCTTAAGAGGTTTGTAGCTTAATCACGTACAGCGATGACACAGAAGTTCAGAAGGAGCTGCAGACATCGAATCGGAGTAAGCCCTGAGCCATCACCCTACTCCCTAGGGAAGATGTTCTCAGCTTGGGGTCTATGTACAGGTTTCAGTATGGCTGTTATCTTGGATGGGAAAAATATTACATCTTTATTTCAATAGAATTGGTTTCCTGTCTAATTCTGTGCATTATATTTCATGTATTTAAAAAGATTATTCTGAGAAGGGTCTATAGACTTCACCAAAAAACGGTTAAGGATCCCCTGGTCCAGGAGGACGTCTGGGAGTTACATTAAACATTTAATTCCTGAAGTAGACCTAAGGCAGGGTCCAAAACACAGAAAGTAATATCATATAAGTGTGCTACCCCATCTGGGTGAAAAAATGTCTTTCACTCCTAGACTGAGTTCAGAGAGGCTGAGTGACTGAGATGCTGTATTTGCCTGCAGTGCCCTTGACATGCGGGTCTCGATTCCCTGCCTGACTGTCTTAAGACTTTCAGGTCCTCAAATCACAGTCACAGACACAGTTAATGTATCTAGGCTACAGTCACAGAGCAGGGTCATAAAGACAAATAAATATTTGTCAACTACCTGATTCAAAAGACAGAAAAAGGCTCCAAAAGGTTGTTGGGGAGGTTAGACTTTTTTGATCTAATAAACCATTTAACTTACTCAGTAATGATGTTGTTGGGGTCAAGGTCTTTGCCAGTCCCTTGGTTGACAACTTTCATGGAAAGGGACAGCTTAACCTTATCATCTTTCATCTGCAGGAAGCAAAAGCAGAGTCATCAAAAAGAGCTCGGCTACATCCGAGAGAGTTACTAGTGATGGCGACGGCCTGCAAACTGCTTGGCAGAGGACATTCACCCAAATAGTCAGCATCAAAAGCATCTGCTGATTGTCTCATGTCGGGGCACTGCTGGCAGGGGTGGGGGCTGGGGGGCCAGGTTACCAGGAGACACAAGAAACCACCTCTGCCTCCCAAGAAACTACCATCTAGTTGAAGAGACCAGACACATAATATAACTGGGCAGCCTACGTTAAGAGTCAAGTGAATGGTAAAGAGAGTAAAGGCTACAAGGGCTTGGGGGAGGGAGCCATTATTGAGAGCTGGGGGCTTGAATTAGGCCTTGAAGGCAGGGTAGGACTTAGACATATGGAGAGGAAGAAGGAGGGTATGCAAGAATGGAAGGGTGACATGAGCAAATGCATAAAGGTGGGATTACCTATGGCATGTTCAGAAACAAGGAAGACACTAACCTAGCTAAAGAGGCAGGGTCCTGCAGGGAAGGAGGGGAGAAGGCGGCTGGAAAGCAGGCAGGGAAGCAGAAACACGTTCTCAGACATAGTCAATGTCCTGATTTCTTTTGCTTGACTATACATATTTGTTACAAGGGAGGTTTTCTATTGATGGGGAGGTGAGTTAGCAGCTAGAGATGGAAATGGAAGAAAAGCAGCAAGAAAACATTTTTTAAATGTATAGAAGAAAAGAGGGAACAAAGATGGGGACACAGTAATTTTGTTACTATCTTGTTATATATATTATATATACATATATACATTATATGGAATAGAAATATGCGTTTCTTATACAACCTTCTTCCCTGTCGTGGTATCTTCAGATATTTGCTGATGACTAAGTTTACATTAAAAAAATTAATTTTTAAGAAAAAGAAAGTAGAATCAGAGGTTGAGAGCTGCAAGGGACCCTGTAAACCAACTAGACCAACCTGCCCATTTTATAGGTAATGAAATTGAGCTTCAGGGAGGTTGAGTGATTTGTCTAAATCACATCAGAGGCAGGATTGAACCCAGGTCCTCAGATGCTTAAGCCAGTACTCTTTCCACCTCCCACTATGCCTTTCAAGGAAAGAGCAAGTACTTTAGATATTCTTCTGTAGGTAGTTAAGAGATTCTTTTCTATCACTGCCAAAATTTTAGTCACCGAGGGCTAGATGGCATCCAGTCAGGCCCACTGGGTGATGCTATGATAACCACAGTGGATTTGGAATTAAAGAACCTGAATTTGAATCTGGACTCTGCTGATCCCTACCTATGTAACCTTCAGCAACCTCTCTGGGCCTGAGTTTATCATCTGCAAAATGAGGCAGTTGGACTATATGGCCTTCTAAGGTCCTTTTCAACTCTAAATCTAGGATTCCAGGATCTTGACTGATGTCAGCTTAGATCAAGGAGACTAGATTTATTGTCTGTATTCTACAGTGGGCCCTCTGATCCCACTGCCTTGTGAGCTAATTGTTCCTTTGTGTATATGTATGGTTTCTTTAGTTAGTATATAAGCTTGTCTTAAACTCCCTGGGCAACTAGTCCTTCCAAAAAGGACTGCCATAAATATTTGACTATTGACCTAATATCATTCAAATCCAGTCAGAGTCAGCTGTGAAATGGGTTAGCCTGGTAATGCTCAGGTCCATAGCATGAGCTGGGGGTGGCAGCAAATACTCATTTATTTACTTCCTGGGGGAAGGGCAGACTAGTAATGAGGTTGGTTTATTTATTTATTTATTTATTTTTGAGCTAACAATTCACTATTTATTTGCAAAACTTCGGGAGTCTTGTCTGGATAAAGAGGAAATGGACCAAAGAACTTTCTAAGATTCCTTCAAACCTAGAGAGTCAGTAAACTTCCCAGGTAGGTAAATACACCCCAATCCTTCTGATGTAGAAATGGAAGCAGCTTTGGTAAGGTTGGAAAGGAGGAGACATCAGAGTGGCATAGCTCAAAAGCAAAACCATCCACTCTGGGAAGAGGATCAGTTTGCCAGCTTCGGCTAAGAATCAAGTCATCATTTTTTCTATTCCTTTACACTCCTGCTCACTTGCAGACAAGGCACAGAATTTTACCTCCCGGCCAATAAGCTTCACCCACACTTTGTCACCGACGTCCACTATCTCAGAGGGCTTGTCCACTCGACAGGATGACATGTGGGTTCGATGGACCAAGCCTTGAAACAGAAAAGGGAAACATTTAATGTAGGCCTGGTACGATCACTAGTCAACGGAAAAGCACAAAGGAAAACCAATGTGATCTTATACCACAAGGGTATCTAATCATGTGCTGTCCGTGACCACAGAGAAATCCGGAGAAAAGTATCAGCTCCCAAAGTCAAACACAGACAGAAAAGGAATAAAACAAAATATCTGACTTATTATATTATGTGGAACAGAATTCTTAAAAATTTTCTGATATTTGTTTTTACATCACCTACATTGCCCAACGTATCCCTCTTTTCTCTCCTTCCCAGAAAGTCACCTTTTATAGCAAAGAATAAAAAAAAACAAACCCAACAGTTCAACAAAATTAACCAACATATTGGTCAAGTCTGACATTAGATGCAGAGTTCTATATCCAATGTCTCCTACCTTTGAAAATAAGTAGAGGGAGGCATCTTCTTCTATCTTTTCTTATGTCTTTTTGATTGAGTTTGCTCATTGTAATTTCACATTATCCAGTTTTGATGATTCTGCTTTAGTTCTTTTTTTTAATTCCATTTTATTTTTTTTTTGTTACATTTTCAGTTCTGAACCATCTGTCTCCCTCCCTCCCCACCCCAGAGAAGGCCACCACTTTACAAATACCCCCTCCCCCCACCACACACCCCACACAGTGTAAAACAGCCCATGGGTACTTCTATTTATCAGTACTTTCTCTGAAAGTGGACAATATCTTCCTTCATAGGTCCTTTGTAGTTGATCTGAATATTTAGAACACTCAGAATAGTTTAGTTGTTCAGTTTCTTTTTAAATTTAATTTTTTTTGTTACATTTTAAGTTCCGACCTGTCACATTAGCTCTTTCCATTCATGCTGCTGTTATTTCATACACTGTGTCCTTGGTTCTGCTTACTTCACTGTGTATCAGTTCACCTATGTCTTCACAGCACAGTAATATTCCACTGCAGTCCTGTCCTACCATCTTTCTAACTAGTCCCCAGTTGATGGGCATCTACTTTGTTTCCAGCAGAGAAGACTGCTAAAGAGGCTCTTCTGTTTAAGCTTCTGACACTGTATCTTGTTCATACGTCTGAGGAGCAGGCTTATGCCACTCCTGGGCGTAATAAACCCATATTGGTACAAGGCGCCGTACCTGAGTGCCTGCTAAAATGCATTTAGACAATGTGGAGAAGTTCTTGCAGTTTTTTAATCTAGACACAAAAGAATCTGCTACGCTGATATAAAGGATCTCCTGACTGGACGAAATTCAGTTAATGTTAATTTCCTTCACAACTTCATCAGCAATGGGACAGAAGAGGACCAACCTAAACTGCTAAACCACAGTTTCAGTCAGGAAGCCGTCCAGGTGAGAGGCCACCCTTATCTACTGTCGTTCATGTTTTCAGGCGTGTCCGACTCTTCATGACCCCATTTGGGATTTTCTCGGCAAAGGTCTTTGAGTGGTTTACCATTTCCTTTTCCAGCTCATTTTACAGATGAGGAAACTGAGGTAAACAGGCGTAAGTGATTTGCCCACGGTCACACAGCTAGTAAGTGTCTGAGGCCAGATCTGAACTAGGCAAGATGAATCTTCCTGACTCCAGACCCAGTACTCTATGCACTATGGCGCCACCTAGCAGTCCACTCTTGTCTTTAGAGCTCAATTTCCTCTTCTGCCACTGACCGCACATTAAATGCAGTACTACTGGAGAAAGATGGCTACTTTTATCCCAGTGGTTCTAACCCAACATCCAGTGATGTAGGAACTCCTTGGTGTCTAGAGCCCTACCTCTTTGAGGTCTGGCATCTCCAGAGTGACAGGGAAGGGTCATATACCCAATAACAGAGAAATAAATCTATGGGATGGAAAAAATGCTGGGAAACATGACTTAGTTTGGGCTTTGCCAAAGGATTAGCTAAAGACTGATTTCTTAGTCCAGTCCTGTGAATATGGCACTTAGTTTCTCTGTCTATAAAGGGGGAGAATCACAAGGGACAAAGTGAGGAAGTCATTATTCAGAGTGACAAAATGAATCAGTGGCAGACCCAAGGATTAGGACTCACTGAGTTTCTAGTTAATTGCTCATCTCCTGGAGTCCAGCTGTCCTGTCCTGCAGAGATTCACCCTCAGGCAGCCAGATTTGGATGCATGACAAAGGCACCTTGCTGCAAATCTGTGCTGTAAGTTAACTCCCTGGAAGCTGTCTCTGCTCCCCCATGTTCCCCTCCCCCAACCAAACCAAAATGTATCAGGACCAGTTCCTCCTAAGAGTCACCTACATATCGGTGCAAATCGGGTAAGATGGGGCAGCAGCAGCAGGTTCGTCTTCAAATTTAAGAAGCCTTTGGCCTAGAGTTTTACCTCATTCAATTTTACTGAAGAAAAAAAAAAACCAACAAAAAAACCTGAGAAACTTCATTCATGCTCCCTGGCTGCCTACCCTCAGAGAGCTGCTGGGAAATGGGCTCTGACCAGAGCTGACCTGTTCTGCTTAGAAGCCTTCAGTTCAGAGCTGAGCAACACCATTCAATCAATTAAAAGGAAAGAACAAAGTTTATAGGGGAGGAGTCCTGTGGAAGCATCATGGCTGCGTTCATCTCCCCCCAGAGCTTGAGCTGCAGAACCCGTGTCTTCTGACCAAGAGGCCTTGTGGCAAAGCACCAAGTCTAATAGGTGGAGAGCTTGAGTTTTCACTCTAGTTTGGCCTCGAATTACATTTGTAGACTATTCTGCTGTTTCCAAAGTGCTTTCCTGCCCATCACCTTGACTGATTCATACAGTCCTGAGAAATAAACAGGAAAAGACCATGTAGCTTTGTGTTAAAGAGCACTGTGGAGGGAGGGGAAATCCGTGGGGTCTAATCATGGCTTTGCCACCAGCTAGCGGGGTGAACGACCCATCCCGCTTCAGTCATCTTAGGTTGGTTTTCTCGCTGGCTCATAATGATAATTCACATTTATATAGTCCTTTAAAAGGTGATTTACTCACAAACAATCCAGTGGCAAAAGAACTGTAAATATTACCATCCCCATTTCACAAGAAATTATGCAATCAGTCAACAAGAACTGAATCAGTGATTACAATGTACGTGGTACTGTGCTGAATGCAGAGAAGTCAAGAGGGGCGAGATGGTTGAGTGAGATGGGGCAGGTGAGCCCCACTTACTAACACAACTACAACAGTGAAGATGGAGGACGACCAAGTGGTAATGGGCATGCTAAGGAGAAAAGACTCTGAGGGGATGCCCAGGAGACAGCCAGAGGCCTGCTGGCACCGGGCAGGGGGCCAGCCAAGAAGATCTACTGGAGATCCGGGCAGGGAGCACGGACAAGGGAAGAGCCTGCTGCTGGGCTGCTCTGGCTGGGGAGAACCTGGCTGGGGAGCTTTCCAGGCCACAGGGAGAGCTGGGGTCAATAACTGTGTATTTGTTGTTCATCCTGAAGAAGACCAGTGACATCATAGGGGGATAACTCAACTTGCTGGAGAACTGGATTTAAGTGAGGCAGAGCCGCACAAAATTGTCAGCCTCATTCTCTCTTCCAGAGTCACTAAAATCCAGTGACAAGACAAGAGTCAGGACGACTGGTGATGGCCCTGGTTGCAGCGATGGCCTTGGTGTCTTTGAGGTCTGACCAAGCTCTAAATGCACCACAGTGCCTACTTCTGCTGCCTCCGTGGCCATTGAAACAGATTATTTTCATCTGCCTATTCTGCTGGGGGAAGTCTTCACGTGCTTGGGGCAGGCACTCTTCCAGCTCACTAATGGATTTTAGACCTGCGGGTTACCTTCCAGCTGATTCAGACTGGCTGCAGAGGTGGTTTTACTGGGTATGGCCACTGTGCACACAATAGCTTCTTGGAGCCACAGGTGAGAGTTGAGTGCCAGGTGGACACCAATGGTGAACGAACAGTCCTGAAAAGGACTCAGACCGTGAATACCCCATAACCCTTGTGTACTAGTTATCTACTAGGACAGGGAGGAAGATCGGGGCAAGACAGCATTTCTGTAACTCTGATCCATGTAACCTTCAATGCACTGACACGGATGTCTCCTCAAGTTACGACCAGGGACAAGCCTACAGTTGGGTCACCTAGACCCCCAGCTGGCATTGGGAGGCTGCAAAGCTCAGCCTGGATGGCAGCAATCGGACTAAACCCTAAAATAGATTGGTGAACTGCCCCTGAGATCCTTGAAGAACAAAGCACTCAATACCCAGATGAAATAGCAGCAGAACCCCAGATAATATAGCTCATACCCAAATATGGCTCCACCATTCCCTCCAGAAGAGCACAGAACCCAGACCTTATACAAAGTTTCAATTTAGGAAGGAAAGCTGGAAAAAAGAGTAAACAAAAGAAGACACTGACGATAAAGAAATAGCATGGATCCAGGGATGCCCAAGACACAAATTCAGAAAAAAAAAATAATTCTACAATATCTATAAGAAAAGTCTCAAGCACAAACACAACTTAGCTAAAAGGAATTCCTGAAGAAATGAAGCAAGAGGACAGAATGGAAGGAAATACATAATTAAATTATAACAGTGAGTGTGAATAGGATGTACATGCATAAAACAGAAGAGGATAGCAAAACGAAGAAAGTAGAATCCAAAAATATGTTGTTTATAAGGAACACATTTAAAACATAAAGATTCACAAATTGTTAAAAATAAGGAACTTGAACAAAATCTATTAAGCCTCAAGTGCCCTCAAAAGGGTAGGGTTACAATCACAATTTCAGACAAAGCCACAGTAAAACACAATTAAAAAAGATAAACAGGGAAACAATAATATGCTTAAAGGCATCACTGACAATGAATTAATATAAATATTATATGTGTATGTATGTAAGCATACCCTCCCCCCACACACATACACACCCCAAATGGTAAAGTATTTAAGTAGTTAAAGGAAAAGCCAATTGAGTTTTAGGGAGAAATAGACAATAAAACTATAATAGTTGGGGAATTCAACCTTTTTCAAACCTATACAAGTCTAACAAAAACACAAATAAGAAAGGAACTGAAGACTTGAGTTGAAATTTTAGGAAATTAGATATGATAATTCTCTGGTGAAGAGAATAAAGTATGTATATTTCTCAACAGTGCGAGGTACCTTTACAAAAACTGATCATGTACAGGACATAACCTCACAAACAAATGCAGAAAAGCAGAAATATTAGACAGATCTTTTACTGATTGCAACACAATATAAATTGTACTCAATAACAGGCCTTTGAGGAAAGCACTAAAAGTTAATTGGGGGACTAGATAACTTAATCCTAAAGAACTGGTGGGTAAAAGAACAAATCTTAGAAATAAGAGTTAATTTCATAAAAAAAAAATGACAACAATAAGCCAAAATACCAAAATTTTGTAGATGCAGCTAAAGTAGTCCTAGAGGAAAAATGTCTATCTCTAAACACTTTCATCAACAAAAGAGAGAAAGAACAGCTTAATGAATTACATATGAAATTAAAAAAAAAAAAACAGAGAAGTTAAATGATTTGCCCACAGTCAAAGAACTAGTAAGTAGCAATGTTAGAACTCAAACCTAAGAATTTGGACTTTGGATCTGGGGGCTCTTCTCACTATCACCAAATGCTCTGTGCCTCAGTTCCTTCATTTTTTAAACACAGATAATACCTGCTCCGCCTACCTCACAGTTGCTGTGAGAAACAAACGGGTCAAGTATGTGCAATGCCTGACAAAGGCAGGGTGTTACTGGTATTCTCAATGACTTTGCCCAGGCTGTCCCAGGCTGGGATGCCCTCCTTTGTTGTCAAAGCCTCTTGGCATCCCAGTTTCCTCCAAAGCTCAGCTCAATCCCCCCCCCCACACACAAGGCCTTTCCTGATCATTCCTCAGATGAGCTCCTACCCACCTCTTTGACCAATGACTTTGTGTTTATTTTGAATATACTCACATGTACACATTGTTCTCCCAACACAGTGTAAGCTCTATGAGAGTAAGAACAGTTCAACTTCTGTGTTTGCCAGGCCAGTGTGGAGCACACAGCAGGTATGTAATAAGTGCTGGTTGATGATGATTTATTTCTACATGTGTACCATATTCCACAGGTAAGATGACTCAGCATTGCAGTTGCCTCAGATAGGCAGCCTGCCCTCCCGAGATGGCCACAATCATTCAATTTTATTCAAGACTCGTCACTGTTTGAATGTTCTAAGACAGCCAACCACGAAAACCAGAGGCCTCTGTGATGCCTGTCAGCTGTTAGAAAATTCAGAACCCACAGCTAGCGCAGAATGGGATAAAAGGTGGTAGGGTGAATTTCTCTTTTCAGAAACATACCTTGCTTTCTGCAGCCTGGAATTTTGATAAAGGCTCCATATTCTGTCACTGTAACAACCTGAAAAGAAAAACATGTCCAAAACTAAACTCATTGTCTTTCCCCTAATTCTTCCCCATTCCTGAACTTCCCTATTACTGTTGTCCAGGGCAACACTCTCCCCAGGCACCCAGGCCTGCAATCCAGGGGCCATGTTTAAACTCCTCTCTCTCCTCATCAGCCAAGCTTGGACCATTGCAATAACCTGCTGGTGGCTCTGCCTGCCTCAAATCTCTTCTCATTCTAGTCCACCCTCCATTCAATCGTCATATTAATCTTCCTCAAGTATAAACCTGAATACGTTACCCTCTTATTCAATCATCTCCAGTGGCTCCTTATCCTTTGTCTAATATTGACAGCTAATAATGTGTAATACTGACAGCTGCTTGGCACTCGAAGTCCTTCACTGCCTGGTCCTTTCCAGGTTTATTATGTCTTACTCCCCACCAGGTGTTCTGTGATTCAGTGACAGCGGCTTCCTTGCTGTTCCTCCAACAAGATACTTCCTACTCCATGCATTTTCACCAGCTATTTCCCGTGCCTGGAATGTTCTCCCTCCTCATCTCTGCCCTCTGATTATAAAATCCTATTTTCTACGAGAAGCCTGTCCTCCAACAAGGCAATGGATGCCAGAGTGCTCTGATGGCTGAGTAAAGCACTACAGAAATGTCAGCTAATAGAATACTTGCTATGATGCTTCAGGGACCTGATTTCATCAGAGTGCTCCTTCCACTAAGACAGGTCATGACACTGTGTCTATGCCTTAGGCAGTTCTCCTGGCCAAAAACATCATCATCTTATAGCCAAACTGGTGATGAGCTTCTCATGCTTTAGCTAGACTGGACCTCAATCCAAAGACATCAAGTCTATGCCTGGGCCCATACTCAAAGCCTTTCTAGCTTAGTAGCCATACCAGAGACTGTGCTCTGCAAGTTCAGTCTTCAAGAACCCAGGGCTATTTTTGCACCATGAACTGTTATTAGACTGCAGTAAAACATGCCATAAAAAAAATAACCCTCCAGGTGTAGGAAGTAACCCTCAGTTACAGCCTTGCTCTTCTCAGGTAGATGCCCACAAAATAACACAGAGTCTGAAAGCTGGTAGGGTTTAGGAACCAGGAACTAAGAAACATTCTATTAAAAAGCAAAACAAAAAATCCCACAAGACAAATGCACATTGAATGAGTGAATGAATGAACAAATATTATTTTATACTTTCCAATGCATGTTCCTATCAATATTTTTATTTGCCCACAAATGCTCCATGAGTTAGGCAGGGTAAGGCCTAATTTTATAGCTCAATCAATAGGCAGTCATTTATGAAATGCATACTATGTGTTAGGCATGCAGGTACAAAGACAGAAATGAAACAACCTTTCCCCTCAAGAAGCTTATGTTTTGTGGCAGAGATAACATTTAAGTGTATATAAAATATTTACTAAATAAATGCAAGGTGTCTTTTGGTGGAAAGTGGGAGAAGATACTAATACCCAGGAGATCAGCCATGGCTTCACGTAGAAGTTGGAAGGAAATGAGAGTCAGTCTTTAAGTTAGAAGAGAGAAAGGAGAACATTCTAGAAATGTAGGTCGACTAAGGTAAAGGTGGTATGGAGGTGGGAAATGGAGCATCCTATGAGGAACAGAAAGGAGGCCAGAGGAAGACCCTGTAGCACAGAGATACCATGTGGTTTGTCCAAGGTCACAAAACCAACTGGCCTGATCCTGGGCCCTGACTGCTCGCCTGGTGCTTCTCCCATGCCCAGTTTACTATTAATCTTAATTCTAACATGGTTAAAATGGCACATTGTTAAGTGTGATGGATTTAGAGTCAGAAAACCTGGGTTCAAATTTCCTGTCACTTTCAGTTTTTTAGGCCTTAGTTTCTTCCCCTGTAAAATGAGGGTAGGGTGAGAAGGCCTGAAGATGCCTTCCACTTCTCAATCTGTGATCCCCCAATGAAAATTTTCATTGTTCCCATTTCCTAGTGGATCTTCTACTGATCAAGAATACTTGGGCAATGTTAGAACTCAGGACTCCAAGCTCCCAAGCCTAGGTTTTACACAGGAGCCCTATGTATACTTCCAAAGAAAATCACATAATACAGAGTGGTTGGGCAGAATGGTATTAGTTATATCAAGCTTTGGGGCTTTCACTGGTATAGATATTCCCTCCAGAGAAGCCAACTGGAGCTGCAGCTTTCTACAATGTTCCCTGGATAACAACCAGAAGGGCCATGTGCTCCCAGCTTTTTCCAGCCTGGTAGGGCCAGCCAAAGCTTGGGCTCTATTGTGGCTTTCATGAATCCAATGGCCACCTCCATGCCACCATGAAGCATCAGAGGGCGTTAGTGGAGGTGTCAAGTGTTAGTTTTTTGCAAACTAAGTATCTTGTGAAAGACAAAGATAACATTTGCCATTTTATTACAAGAATGCCAAACACTGGCCCTCCCTTTTCTTTCTTTTTTTTTAATCTTAAAAATCTTTTTTTATCTTAATCTTAATCTTTAATCTTAAAAATCTTAAAAAAATCTTAAAAAAAGAGAGGAAATTTCAATACACCAAGTAGAACAGGAAAAAGGATTATATGTGAAACACAAAGCTCTGTGTACAGCTCACTTTTGAAAAAGTACATAATAATTCAACATTTTACTTTCATATCTAACAGAGCTGTTATCCTTTTATATTTGAATCCGTTCTCTGTACCTTAAATATCAGACTTTTGTCAGAAAAACTTGCTGCAAAGATGTTTTTCTGAGTTAACTGTTTCCCTTTTAACTGCCTTGATTTTGTTTGTGCAAAAACTTTCCAGTTGTACGTGATCAAGACTGTCCATTTTATCCTCTATGATCCTCTCTGTCCCCTTGTCTTGCCACAAACTCTTCCTCCAGCCATAGCTGAGAAAGGCATTTTTGTCCTGGATCCTCTAATTTGTCTATGATGTGATCTTTTATATAGCTAGTCATGCAAGCATTTGGAGCGCCTTGTGGTCTACGGTGTGAGATCTTAGTCTACCTAATTTCTCACAGGCTGCTTTCCAGTTTTTCTAGCAATTTTATTGTGTTCATTACCTTCTTTATGTTATGTACCTAATCTGTCCCACTGATCAACTTTTCAATTCGTTTTAACCACTACTAAATAGTTTTCACAAAGCAATAATGCTTTGAAGTACAGTTTCAGATCTGGTACTGATGGGCCCTCTTCCTTTCTTTTTTTCATTACTTTCCTTGAGAATTTGGACCTTTTGTCCCTCCAGATGAGTTTTGTCACTGGTTTTTCTAGCTCTCTAAAGCAATCTCTTAGTAGTTTGGTATGGCACTGAATTAGTAAATTAATATAGGTAGTATTGTTTTAATTATAGTGACAAAACCCAACCATGACCAATTAATATAACATCACTTTATTGCTATAAAGAGTGTTCCGTAGTTCCACTCAGCCCCTACCCTTTCCAGGACCAACTGAGGTATTGGGAGTAACACACGCCCCAGGAATTTGTAAAGAGCTGGGAAACACTACGTTCTTTCTAACAACTTCTAAAAGGGTACAATTATTTGAAGCTTCTGTCAAAGTACTGCTCCAAAACATTACTTTAAAAGTCTCATCATGACCCACAGGCAACCTTGAGGTCTGTAAGGTAACGTGAGCAGAGTATAATCTTGGGTCAGTTAGATCAAGATAGAAAGGCTTCGAGCACATGCCGAGCGATCTATTCTATTGTCTATTGTCCAATGACCAGCCTAGCTAAATTTGGAGAGGCCAAGCCAGGTTGACTGACACCACCAGGTTGACCAGCAATAAATCAGTATTTTTGGCCAAGACAAAGCTCACAGAACATGGCCGATGACCTGTCTTTTGGCTTTAGTCTTAACATTCTATGTACACCCCCAAGAGACCAAACCCTTCCTGGTTCTCTTTGGGCAGTGTACTGAGCCTGCCAACAGCACAGCTGCTGGGAATCAGGAATTAGCCACACAAATTTCTTCAAGAACAATTGATCTTAGTGGGCGAGAACAAGCCTAAAATTGAAAATTTCACTGCTGCCTTTTCTTTTGCTCCCTCTCCTGTTTCCTTCATTTCAATTAAAACTGATTCCCCCATGAGTCTTCTCTGTTGTTGCCTACATCTCCAGCACCATTCACTGATGACAGCGTATGTGCCCAGTGATAAAAGGGATTTCAGAAATCACCTTGCCCATCCAAGTCATAAAGACAATTGTCTTCCTTCACCTCTGGCTTAAGGGTCATAGGATCACAGGTCAAGAGCTGGAAGGGATTTGAGAGGCCACTGTCTCCAACTCACCCTCCTCATTTTACAGAGGAGGAAACTGAGGCACAGAGAGCTGAAGAGACTCATCAGGGTCACAGAACTACTAAGTGTCTGAGGCAGGATTTCGATTCAGATCTTCCTCTAAGTCCAGCATTCTAGCTACACATAATGCAGAAAGGGATGCCCACAAAAAGACATGGCAGGAAATCAGCTTCTCCAGGAAAGGACAGAAGTTCAGGCACACCTCTCCTCTGAAGATAGTGTAGAGGTCAGGCAGGTCATCCAGACTGTCACGTCTTCCTGGATTCATCCTAAATGCTCCGTGGGCTTCTGAATTCCCCTCGTAAGTAATCAAGCCTCCTGCTTTACTGGAACAGGAACAGAAAACAATTAGAGATATTTAACTTAATGATAGGTGAATGAGCTGATGCTAACATAACAAGTTGGTCTCAATGGAACTGCCCAATTGGGTTTAACCCCCACCCCGATACCCCCCACTCAGTTACTCAAGCCTTGGTCTTAGTGGGAACTAATCTAAGCTGGCAATAGGAACTTTGGTGACTTAGGACTTCCTTTTCAATTTGTAAGGGACCCAAGGGGATGTCTCCTTGTTGGGGGATTGTTGGGGATTTTAAAAATTAATTGTCAAGTAAATAAAAGGTGTGCTAATTATTTCTAGTCCAAGGAGACTAGAGGTGGTTGGAGATCTACAAGAGGGAAAAACAAAACTAAAACCTAGGGGCTTAATGGAATTAAAAAGGCCAGTACTTAATTGGACTAGACAAAGGCAGCAAAGATCATAGGCTACAGAGTTGAATGGGATCTTGAAGATTATCTAGACTGGCTTACAAATGACTTAACTGAAGCCCAGAGTTTAAGTGACTTGAAAACAGCTTTTATTTCAAGAAATCAACAGATATCAAGTACCTACTACATGTATAACTCTGATTGCTCTTAGCATGAAACAGTCTCTCCCGGGTCTACAGACTAAGGAAAGAAAGAACAGATAGGAAACCAAGTGTTAAAACTGTTTGGTGCTAAGAGCAATCAGAGTGAGTTCAGGGACGAGACAGATCAGCACAGTCTAGGTTAGTGAGAGGATTCCTGAAAGGGACAGGACTTGAGCTTGGCCTTTGAGAACATGTAATAGAATAAGATCACAGATTTATGGACAGACAGGACTCTGGAGGTCGCCTAACTTCCTCAGTTTACAGATGAGGAAACTGAGGCCCAGAGAAGTTAAGTTACTTGCCCATGGTCACAAAGCCAGTAGTGGCAGAGCCAGAACATGAATTCCACTGGACCACACTGGCTCTCAGGCAGGCAATCAACAAGCATTCACTGCGTGTTTGTTATGTGCCAGGTACCTCACCAGGCTAAGTGGTGAGGCCACAAAGAAAGGCAAAAACAGGGTCTGGGCCCTCGAGACGTTTACTTTCTAATAGGGGAGACAACACGTACATGACTGGATTAACACATGAATCAAGGGTAAAGAGACCTGAGGCAGGGAGACTGGGCAGAAGGGGCTGTACTGCAATACCAGAGAGGCCCGCAGAGGCCCTGAACCGCCCAAAGGTTTACAAAGTGCTTTATATACATTGTCGCACTTCATCACGAGTCACCAATACCCGTGTGAGGGAGGTACTATTCTCACATCCATTTTACAGATGAAGAAACTAAGGTGCAGGGGTTAAGTGACTTGCCTGGAGTCACAAAGCTAATGTTGGACACGGGTCCAGGTTGGAGTGCAGGCTGTCCCAGCTCCAAGTCCAGTGTTCTAATCCGTTCCATCCGGCCACGTCACAGCCCAAGAAGCTGATGTACTATTAGCCTGCATTAATCAGGGGAAGCGTCCAGAACAAGGGAGGTGACTTACCCTATTCTGGACGCCCTGGTTAGATCTCATGTGGAGGCTCGTTCCTGGGCCTCAGAATTTAAGAATGACCGTGACAAACTAAAGTCCCTCTCCCTAGTGTACTTTACCCTTACTGCTCTAGTAAACAACGCTAGGGTCACCATAACCTCGTAATCACCCAATTCAAGGGCCTTTTTTCATTCTGCAAAAACCTGCAGCAGCTCCCTTTTACTTCTAGGACAAAATACAAACTCCTCAGCCTGGCATTTAAGGCCTTCCTGACTTCCTTCAGATTAACCTACCTTCCCTCCAACCTACCAACACCCTATTTTCTGGCCAAGTCCTAGACTAGATTGTTCCCTGACCCTGACATTCTATGTCCTGGCTACAGTCTTTTTTTCATGGGTACTTCTCATGCCTAGAATTCTCTCCATCCCCTGTTCTATTTCCTATCATACCTAGCTCCCTTAAAGACTTAGCTCAGGTGCCATCTCTAACCAAAGCCTTTCTAATGTCGCCAAGCTGTTACTGTTCTGTTCTCCTCAAATTGTCTTGGTCCGACTTATAGCAGGGGATTACAAATGCTTGTTTGTGTGACCGTAGAATTGAGATTTGTGGAAGCTTTATATTGCATCTCCGAATGTAAGCTCTCTGAGGGTAAGGGCTGCTTTATTTTTATCTTTATTTTCCCAGGTCTGGAACACAGCCTGCACTTAACATATGTTTGTTGAATTGAATTGAAATGGAATTTGTGGACACAGGTGGTCAGAAACAATGTAAAAATACCTTATCCCAGTCAGATGCATGTGTAGATGAGCATAATCATGAGAGGAGAAATCACTGCACAATGTTCTGTTAATTATTTATTAACTGAATAGATCTCTTTGGCATTACTTTAGATTAAAGAGATTTTAGTCATATATATTCCAGTTGGCTAAACTGTAAGGCAGCCTAGGACAACAATGGGTTATATCGATCATAGGGTTATAGTCTCGGAGTTAGGAGGAAGTGTCTCACAGCCACCTCTACAAAAAAGCTTTCCATCCCCATTGCCTCCACCTTCTCCCTTCTCACCTAGCTTTCGTCAGGCCAACTCAGCCCCCCTCCCCACCCCTTCCCCCACAGAAAATCTATAGCCTGATCTAATCTGCTATAAGGGCCCTACCCCAGAAATTACTTTGTATATAATTGTTCATATTTGGTTTAAAAAACTTTGATTCCTTTTGTTTTTACAATACATTCATTTCCTAATAAATCTCTTTCCCCACCCCTTGCAACAAAGGTAATTTTTAAAAAGCTAAGCAAAACCAAACAATATGTCACTTGTGTCCACCGGTGGGTACAATATTCTATATCCACGCCCCACCCCCTCTGAAATGAAAAGAAATGCATTTTCTAAACTCTTCTCCAGATTCAAGTTTGGTCATAAAAATTACACAATGTTTAGCTTTTGACTGTTTTTTTGCCCTTCATTGCTTATTTTGTTTTCCTAGTTCTGCCCGTTTCATTTGGCATCCTCAGTTCACATGAGTCTTCCCAAACTTCTCTGACTTCTTGATATTCATCATTTACTACAATGTAGCAGTGATATTCCATTACATTAACATTCTACAATTTGTCTAGTCTTTCTCCCATAGAAGGGCACTTACTTTGTTTCTAAGTCTCTGCCACAATACAAAGGACTGTTATGACTATTGAGATATACATGGAAACTTTCTGTCCAAAAACTAATTTGGCTATATGTATAATATGTGTAATATAATATATGTATAATAGTGGGATCTCAAACATTTTGGTCACGCTTTTTGCACAATTTCAAATAGTTTTTCCAGCACGTTGGATCAATACACAGCTCCAACAATGTATTAGTGTTCTGTATTTCCACAGCCTCTCCAATGTTGACTATTTCCATCTTTTGTCATCTTTGTCAATTTGCTGTGTGAGGGGAAACCTAAGAGTTGTTCCTTGTTTCTCTTGTCGTTAGTGATTTAAAGCAATCTTTCTTTGGTTGTCAATAGCTCGTAATTTATCTTTTGAAAGCTGTATTCTTTGCCCATTTGCCCACTGGGGAATGACTCTTGGTCCTATATATTTGTATTAATTCCTTATATATTCTGGATATAAAACCCTGAGATGACTGATGCAGTTTCCTCAAACAAGTTTCCTTTCTATGGAAGATGGAATGTCATTCATGGCGAAGAGCAAATAAAACACATAGAAAAGTTTAGAAGTTATGAGGGACAGTAATATGAAATCAATCCAGAAAGAGAGATGACAGCCAGACTCTGAATGATTTTAAATGCCAGGCTGAAGATTTTATATTTTATCCTT